TGATTTGCATTTCCCTGATGATTAGAGATGTTGAGCATTTTTTCATATGTTTTTTGGGCATTAGTCTATCTTCTTTTGAAAAGTTTCTGTTCATGTCCTTTGCCCACTTTTTGACAGCCAAGGAAACTATCACGAGAGCAAACAGCCTACAGAATGGGAGAAAATATTCGCATGCTACATATCTAATAAAGGGCTGATAAGTAGAATCTATATAGAACTCCGGAAAATCAGCAAGAAAAAAAAATTTTAGCTCTTTCTTCAGGTTTTCTTTGCTTAAGAGAAAAGCTTAAGCTACTTAGTCACAATCATTTTATCTGTTTTTTGGGAAATTAAATATTCAGAAACAAATTTTATAACTTATAAACTCTGAAGATGGTTGTATACTATATTATAATAGCATACTAGGACTCTGAACCATAGACCAGTATCTGTTACTGATTCAGTAGATTTATCCTACTTGAGGATATAGGGATTTTAAAATCAGATAATTTATATAACTTGATACTTCTCTAGCATATAGGATCTAATCTTATACTCTCAGACTTTAATGTTTTTTGAGTCTTTCTAAAAGTGGTAAGGTGTGAATTATAAATGACTAACAAAGTTGTGTACAAACTGCTCTTTGAGTCTTTTGCTCAAATTATAGAGGAAAAGCTAGTAATAAATGCTGCTTTCTTATCTACCCCTGAGCATGTAAGAAACATCAAAATTATCTGGAACCTTTCAGATTAATGAAGTTTATGTTTAAAGCACTCTTAATTCTTGCAAAGATGGAAAATACTGGTTATAAAGGAAACATTTTTTGAATGTTTACTCAATATGTCTTCCTTTAGACATAAGAAATGGGCTATTAGTATAATAGCAGAATCTAGTTTTGTTACATGCTCATTCATGTGTCATAATGTATAATAAAAGAATCCTAAAAGACTTGCATTTTAATATCTTACAGATGCTTATTTGGGTAGTCAGTTTTATTACTCCTTGTAATTTTTGTGTTTTTATGTCTTACCATATAAGGAATTTACCATCTAATATCAGTGGGTGATTATCCTTCTATCTCACAGAATATGTCTATACCATGTAGTTGTCTTTTGAGAAGCATTCACAACTCAACAAATTAGAAGTTAGGTCTAGCTTCTTCTAATTGCTATTCTCTGACTGATTTGTTATGTTAATCTTGGGTTTATCTTTTAACCTTCTTGCATCAGTGTCTTCCTTATTAAATGGAAATAGAAAATACCTCACAGGAATTTTTGAAGGTCAGCTGATACTGTTTGTAAAAGTGCTTTGAAAACTATAGGGAAATGAGGATATAGCAGTTGATGAAAGATTAGTCAAGAGAAACAAATGGAAAAAGGCTATTTAATGTCAGTGTCAAGAACTATGAAGGGCCCAAGATTTTACCCTATTTGCAGCCTGTGAGTTTTATGGATGGTGGCTGAAGATGCAAGACTTCTGTGTCAGAGACAAAGAACTTCATCACTCACAGCAATAGCAGTAGCCATAGGATCAGTATTTTCTTGTGTTGGTTCCCTGAATCCCAATTCCCACAGGTCAATGGAGGGAGAACCAGTGTTCTGTAAAATTTAGGTTCAGTCAAAAGGCCACACGCAAGGATGCACAAGTCCACATGTGGCCTCAAGGCTGCAGATTCCCCACCCCATTCTCTTACATCTGAGCAGAGACCTGAATGGAGTGAAAGCAAGCCATGATGGAAGAGAAAGTGCAAAGATCCTGAGATGGGAACATGTATACTGTATTCAGATACTAGCAAGGAGACAAAGCCATTGTGGCTAAGCTCAGTTAACAAGGAGAAGAGTGGCAAAAGATTAGATAAGAGCAAGAGGCCATATCATGTGGAGCCTTATGGACCATGGTTAGGATTTTGTATTTTATTCTGATTGAGGTTAGAAGTCATTGGAGGGTTTTAAATGGAAAAGTAATGGGATCTGAGAAACATTTTAACAGTAGTACTCTGGTGGCTCTGAATTATATAAGCTGTGAGGGTGAGGA